ATTGTAGTTATCAATCATTTAGAATTTATCAAGCACCTATTTTGTACCAGGCTCTACTAAGAGCTAGGGATCCAAAGACAAAATGAAATATTCCACATACTCAAAGAGTTTACATTCTATCAGGGGAGACATGTATACATATAAAAATATACAAAATGATTGAAGTGATTGGTGGGGGGGAAGGGGAGACACAAGCAAAGTAAGCAATCAAAAAAGGGCTTGTGGAGGTCAATAAATAGTCAATAATCAAGAAACATTTATTAAGTACCTACTATGTGCAAGGGGCTAGAGTCAATGCTTGAATTGAGTTTTGAAGGACACTAGGGGTTTCAACAAACAAGGATGAGGAAGGAGTATATTCCAGGCATTGCAGAGTCTATGAAGAGGCCCAGAAACAGGAGATGGAATGTCATGTAAGGAATAGTAAATTATCTGTGTATGTGTTAGCCACCCCCAGCCCCAACTAGACTATAAATGCCATATGGGCATAGGGACCTGGCCTCATCTACCCTGGCACAAGTACTTTGACCACAGTAGGTGCTTAATAGATGTTGGTTGAATTGAACTAAATTCATCTGGCAGCTGGATAGAGGATAGATTAGACAGGGGTAAGAAAGCGGAGGCTGGAGACCTATTAAGAGGTTATTGCAATAGTCTAGTTAGGCACTAATGAGGGCCTATCCATGGGTGGCAATAGGAATACAGGGGAAGGGACAAATGAAAGATATTGCAAAATTAACAAGGAGATTCTTGGTTTCTAACCAAATGGCTATGGGAGAAAGGGAACAAGGCAAAGACAGAACCCTATTTACTAGGTAGCAAGGGTCAGGAGGCACAGGACTGACTTACGGAGGAAGAACCAAGGCAGAGCTAATGGGACATAATAAAGAACAAAGTGACCCAGAAGGTTGACTCCTCACTCAGGCTCATTGTCAAGTATTCCTTCCCCAGAGGCCCAACCCTCTGCCCAGTGATGTGTCCTAGTCACTCTTGCTCCTACCTCTACCTCCAAACTGGGGCATTATAGGGAAAGGAGCTCGTATTTCTACAGTGCTTTACATTTTATGAAGGACTTACCCCTTCCCCCCACAACTACACGGGGGCAAGGAATGTAAGTATTCTCTCCAATTACAGTCTTATCTCAAGCTGGGACTTGAACCCAGATCTCCTCCCTCTAAGTTTGGTGCTCTGTCCAGAACACCCCTGATCCACACTGCCTTGTTGCTGGACAGAAAGAAAGGACATTCTTTCCAGTGTGTGTACAGAGAGAGTAATGCAAGGGAAGGGCAGAGTTCTCACCCTCCTCTCTCTCCTTCCCCCTCCCCTGCCCCCACTCCCCTGCTGCCTGGATCTCTGCACCATGAGGGGAGGAGGCCCCAGACACCTGCTTAGCCTGCTGGGAAAGATTCTAAATTAGAGGCCAGGGACCTTGGGGGAGAGCTCCTCCGATGGCAGGGCACACCCTTAGGGAATCTCATCCCTGACAGCAGCCCCCTGCTAACTCCGAAACTGATCCAGCTGCCAACATCAGGGCTAGGGGCCCTGCTACAGCTCAGAGACCCTTCCTAGGCTCATCTGCCTTGCGATTGCCTGTCCCAAGTTGTGCCCCCATTTCCTTGGGGAAATTCAGGGCTTTGGAAAAACAGGTCAGGAAAACAGTCTTCCCTGACAATGCTCAAATTCTCTCTGAGTTTGGGGGTGGGGCAGGGAATAAAGCCACTCCCCCTTGCATCCCTAAGAGGAGGGTACGCAAAGAGAGGAAAAGAGAACCAAATCTATTTATTTACAGCTCTATCTTTGAAAATAAAATGAGGAGTGGGACATTGGGAGGAAGAAGAGTTTGGAATTTAAACGAGGATTTTGGATTCTCTGTGAATTTCAGCCTCAACCCACAGATAATTGAGAACTGGGGATGTACTATGACAGTACCCTCCCTTTTCTTTCATAACCACATCTTCCCCATAAGCCCTCTCCCCTAAACAGCTTAGCCCCTAAAGCCACTGCTCCTGAAGCTGTGGGGGACCGATGCCTGGAAGTGGGGTGACTCACTGTCTGGCTTCCCTGGCAGCCTCCTCTCTTCTCCTCTCCTCTTCCCTCCCTTTCCCCCTCAATCAGAGTAGGAGGGGCTGGCAGGTGTCCCTCTCTCTGAGGAGGAGAAGCCAGGGACGGAGCTGGGAGAGGCCCCACCAAGGGGGTTTGGCCAGGTTCACTCAGGGGCTAAGGAGCCCCAGCTGGAGGGATTTAAAGCTGAAGGTCAAAGGTCAGAGACAGCAAGGAAGAGAGGGGAGGGATACAGGGGGTTGGTGTCAGAGGGTCACCACTAACAGCAGCTTTGGGAGATAGAGTAGGGGAGACAGCCTGCTTTCACTGATGTGGACCTGAGGGCCACCAGGATTCCTGAATGTCCCATGGTAGGGTCAAAGCCCAGCTCCATGAGGCCCTTGGGGCCTCAGAAGCCTCCTTTCCCTCCCCCAGATGGCAGCCCACCCTCCCCAACCTGGCCCCTAGATAGGGGAACTGAGGCTGCACCTCATCACTCTTCATATATAGGCTAGGCTTTAAGGGTAGAAAAGCTGTGTGGGACAGAGCCCACAGGGGTGAAGATGGGCTCTGATTCAGCTATGCGAAAGGAGCGACTCAAGGACCCTGAGGAGCCCCCACAGACTAGACTGTAGAGCAGGGAAGCCACTACCCCCACCTACCCACCCACCAGGTGCAGCCCCACCCCTAACCCCATCCTCCAGTAAGGGGTTGCTGAGGGCAGCAGGGCAGGTCACTCAGCAGAGGGGCTGGGGCCCAGACTGGGGAGGAGAGGTAGGGGGAAGGGAGAGTGCATGGAGGTCACTAGAGGGAGGGTGTTGCTTGGTTTCTGGGGCCTGTGGTTCCTGCTGTAATCTGGGTTTGAACAGCTGTGGTCAACCCTGAATGGGAAGCCCAGAAGATTCCTCAAAACGGGCTGGGGAAGAGGGGAATCAAAGGCTGGGCAGACCCTGACTAAGTTCATTCACCTCTCTTGGTCAAAGTTTTCCCTATCTGGAAAAATGATGGAGTTGGCCCAGAGGATTTCTAAGGTCTCTTTCAGCTGTAATTAGGTGACTGCCAACATTGCCCTAAGCTTTAGCCACTCCTCTAAATATCAGTAAAATTTTAAAAAAAAAGGAATATGGGATGTTCAGAAAATCAAATTAGGAGGCATGGTTCTTGTTCAGGCTCTGCCACTACTGAGTTTTATGTGACCTTGGGCAAGTCACTTACCCCTTTGGTCTTCTGTAAAATGGAAGGGGGTGAGGGAACCTGGAGGTTTGACTTGTTCCCTATGGCTTCTTCCAGGTCTAAATCCTATGACATTCCTTCTTTTCCTCCCCACTTAGCCAGACATACATAGAGGACCTGAGGCCAGCTACCCAGTTTGCAAAAGAGTTGAGGGGAAAACACCCCTTCCAGCCTCTGGGGGCCTTGCCAGGACCCAGCCATTTGCCTAGCTGAATTAGATTTATTGTCCAACTCTTATTCAGTCTTGCCTGTCTCCGTGATCTTCAGGTTTGGGGTCTGAGCCAGGTTAATCTGGGACTGGATCAGCTATGGGATCTGAATGGCAGAGAGCCCAGGTATCTTCCCAGCATCATCTCACTACTCCAAATGTCACCAGAGTGGCCCAACACAGGCACAAGGGCACACACTCTCTTACACACAGACACAAAGAAGCACGGCATAGCCAGTTTCTCTTTGGAAAGAACTGCCTTGCTAATTAATGTTCTGGAGCTCCAAATCAGCCATGGGGACTCCCTGGTTCCAGAAGGGCAACCAGCCAGGGACACCAGGTGCCAGCCAAATTTCATCCCCATCCCCACCTCGGTTCCACCTAGGGTTAAGTATGGAACAGGGAAGGTACCTCCCTTCGCTCGGTATGCACCTGTCACACTTCATCCCTCCCCCCCAGACCTGACTAAGACAGCCACCTTTTGGCTCCCATACCCACTAATTCCCAGGTAAAGGCAATCCAGGGACCAGCCAATCTCTTTTCTCCTCTTCTTCCTGGTCACCTCACTGGCTCCCAGGGTGTGCTGGTGAAGAAAAGGGTGCCCAGGCCCCAGCCCTGATAGACCTGAAGAGAGCTCCCATCCCTACCTGGCCTAGTAGGAGAGATAGCCGAAATCTCGATGATTGAACAAGTGCCTGGCACTGCTACCCCCACCTCTCTTTCCCTTTCTGGCTTTCTTCACTGAAGGGGGCTGCAGGATTCTACTCCATCTCTAATCCCTTTCAGAAAGCGCTTCCCCGTTTCCCCCCCTCCCCTGGGCCCCTCTCAGCTGGTCACCCGGAGGGTCCTGATGGCCCCCCGGGGCCTGCTTGTCTGAGTCCAGGGAAGGAAAGGCAAGGTACAGAGCCTGGGCATCTGGCTGGTTCTGTGATGGGGGAAGGACAGAAGAATGGAAAGGGAGGAAGATTGGGGGATTGAGATTTTTTTTTTTCAAGGAAAACGAGAAACCCTTAAAAACCCTTCCTGGAAAAGGCAGTTCATTCACTGCCCTGGGGAGGGGCTGGTTTAGGGTCCAGCTAACTTCTTGACCCGACTCCAAGTCCCCTCCTGCGATCCCTGCCACCACCCCTTTCTTCCCCCAAACGTGTCCCCTCCCTCCGTCCCCTGAACACTACGTGGGGTGAGGGGGGGAGGCGCTGAACTTCCCCGCTGAAGTTTGCAGCGGCTCCGGCAAGTGAAGGGGCCTCGGTGAGGGTTCACAATAGCCCGAGGTGAGGAGCGGCGAGAGGGGGAGGGGGAGGAGAGGCGACCCTCCAGGACTGCAGCCTCCCCTCCCCAGCCAGCTCCGTGGGCCCCCAGCCCGACGATCCGAAAAAGCCCTGAGCGCACAGCCTCTGACTCCAGGGGTACACTGGGTCTCGATATGGAGAAGAGTTTGGGGAGAGGTGGCAGCACGAAAGAGGACCGATTCCCGCTCGCCCCCCCACCCAGCCTCTCCCAGCCCGATACAGTGCCTTACCTCTAGCTGGAGGGACCCCGGGCGGCGGCGGCGAGCCGGGTTTGGGTCCTCTCTCTCCGGGCTGCGGGCTCCTGCGGTCAGGGAGGGGAGCTGGGGAAGGGGGAGGGGGGAGAGGATGGCGGCTCGGGGGGAGAGGCGGCCGCGGGGCTCAGAAGGCGCTGCTGGCTCCCCTGGCACGGCCGCCCTTCGCCCCGCCGCTCCGCCACATCTGCAGCTCGGGCTGGGGAAAGGTGGCAGCCGCCCGGTCGTGAGGGGATGTCTTGGGGAGGGGAGGGAGGGAGGGACAGAGGGAAGAAGGGAAGGAGAGAGACAGAGAGAGGGGAGGAGGGACGGAGGAGAGGAGGAGGAGGAAAGAAGGGAGGGAGAGACAGGGGAGGAGGGAGGAGGGAAACAGAGAGACACAGGGAGGGAGGCAGGCAGGCGGGGGGCGTCCTCTTTGCAAACCCGTCTTCCCCGGGCCAGTAGCCCCGGCAGCCGAGGCTGGGGTGGCCGGGGAAGACGTCCGCGGCCGAGCTTGGAGGTTGGGAATGAGGGAAGAGGGGGCGACTGTGCTCTGGTGCTGAGGCTGGTGGTGCTGGGGCTGGTGGTGCTGATGGTGGTGGGGTCTTTACTCCCCCTTCCCGGCTTGGAGGAGCGCGTCGTTAAAGGGAAAGGATTTGTGTGAATTGGAGGCGCCTGCCTGTTTGAGGTAGGGGGGAGGTGGTAGAGAGGAAGGGGAGTGGGCTTTTCTTCTCCCCCCCACCCCCACCCCCTTATTTATCACAGCCCTGCAGAGCTGTCTGAAATGGACCAGCTCTGATCAGTTTCAGCCCCATCCTCCCAGGCCGGGCAGAGCCCGCCCCGGGCAGCTCAGCGCATGCCCCCCCACTCCTTCCCAGGTCCCTCCCCTCACCCTCACCCTCCCTGGAGCCCCGCCCCCGGCCGGAGGGCAGCGCTAGGACACAGGCAAGAGGCGGGTACTGCCCGGGGCCGGGGAGAGGGGGTGGGGACCAGAGCGCCGCCCCCGCCCTCAGGGAAACCCGGGTGCTGGAGGGCTAAGGGGTGGGGGGTCCGCAGGCCAGATTGGGGGTAGGGGGAGCTCAAAGGAGCTAAGAGCCGGGGGGGTAAGCTGAGGAGGGTGGGAAAGAGAAGATGGGGGGGTGGGAGCTGAAGGAGTATAGGGTGATCTGGAAGGGAAGGAGCTCCTAAGGGGCCTGGTGGGGGCCAGGGTGGGGAGGCAACATCTGAAAAGACTGGGTAGAAAAGCCCCAGAGCGGACCAGAGAGGGGAGGAAAAGACAGTGGGAGGGAGGGAGGAGAAAGGCAGCAGGCGGGGGAGACTGGAGGTTTGCAGCAGCCGCTTAGATAGAATTGAGTGTGGTGGCGACGGCGGCGGCAGAGATGCCTAGGATGGGAGATCAGATGGGACCGGGTCGGGGGAAGAGCTCTGTGGAGGCGGTTCCCCTAATTGGGTGATAGGGGGAGGGGAGAAGGTCTAGTTGGGATACTGCAGCTTCCATCATACTGTTTTCCTTGGGGTTTAGCTATGTCTGGAAAAAAGGAGGCAAAAGCTGTTTACTCCTTCCAGTGAGGAGCCAGGTCCAACAGCCTTAAATTTAAATTGAGGCTTCTTCGGCGCCTCGGGTTCTGACCTTGGCCAGTTACCTCCCTGCTCCCTCCAGGCCTCAGTTTCCTTGTCTCAAGTCTGGTCTGGAAGGAATTCCTGTGAGCTTTAATTTTCCATAATCTTATCAGGACAGGAAACCTTCTGTGTGCCTCTGGGGTAGCAAAGAGCAAAAGGCCAGATGTTCCCAAAGTTGGAGCCTTGACAGTCTTGGCCCCAGGAGAAAACAGCCCCGCAGAGTGAACTGAAGGAGGAGGGAATGGGGGGGAGGGGACAGTAATCAGAGGCCCAGAGAGACCTGGGCCATTTCCAGCTTTTAAAAATCCTAGCCATAACACTTATAGTAAAAGAAAATACATTAAGACAAAGTAAGGCACCAGAAAAAAAAAGACAATCTCTATATATGTATATACATATCTGTGTGCATACAAACTTATATGAGATATATAGCTTTTATGTGCCTCATACTTTAATATTATATATAGGTATGATAGCCTGGTGTGTTGGCCAAAGGGCTGACCCTGCAGGCAGAGACTTGGGTTCAAGTCCAGCCTCTGACTTCTTTTAGCTGTGTGACCATGGGCAACTCACCTGACCTCTCAGTGCCCCAGGAAGCTCTCTAGGATTATAAATTACACAGACTTGTTGCTGATCTGCAGAGGTGGAAGGGAGTTTCCACAGAACTCCTACACCCATGAAATCACAGTACGTGTGTCATGTGTATTTAGCAAATGCTTTTCTGGCCTTTTTTTTCTGTGCAAATGTACTGATTATTGAAGGAAAATCTTTTGTGCAATGTTGCTGTTGGTATTAAAATATGACAAATCACTCAAATGTTCCTTCCCCATAGTTGAACTATGCTGATAGTTTTTTGTGAAATTTGAGGATCCGTTTGAACTGTAGTCCCAAGCCAAGTGACCCCCTTCTTTTCTCCTTATTGGCTTTGAGGCTGTGATCTGCTCTTTCATCTTCAAGGTTCTCTCCTGCAGTCCTGGCCTTTGTGCACTTCTCCATTGTGTACCCTTCTGGTCTGGTGACCTCTGGCCACAGTACAGTACACATGTAGTGAGGACAATGCTTCCTCACCCTACACTCAGAAGGCAGCCAACAGATGAAGTGACTGACTTCATGAGAAATTAGCCAACTTTCCATGATCCGGGCCAACAGAGGGAGCTTTGGTCCTGATTCCCTCCAATTTAAAACAATTTCCAAAAATCTTTTCTATTTATCTTTGTTAAACATTCTTATTTTATATAGCACAATTATCTTTCTAAATAGATTTTGCCTGGACCAATATAGTCAACTCCCAGGCACCCCCATGTTCATTATCTACTTCGTTTACCTGTGGTTTTAGTGCCCCCTTTTTTAAACCCTTGCTCTCTCCCTGTATTTCTCAGTTACTCTGCTGCCCCCCCCCTCAGGAAAATATAATGTGCTTTAATATTAGCATAACCAAGACATACTGCTTTTTAGGAAGGTATATCCTACCTTAGGAGAATTACTTAACATAAGATTTATAACACTGCTCAACTATAGCCATATGGTGTCCATACGGTGTCTTAGAAGCCAAGCAAGGTTAGACCAGATGGGCACCTGGATGAGAGACTGCTTAGGAAGAGCAGGTGATAATAAACTTTAAAGAAGTAGTGAATGGTATATGACAGTGTCCTTGACTCCAAGTCAGGAAGACCTAGATTGGAATTCTGTCTGACACTCAAGTCACTGTGTGACAATGGGCAGGTTACTTCATTGGGACTCCAACCATTCTCCAAGATTATACTTTATTGAGGGTTGTAATAGTGGGAACTGTTATCAACTTCTTGTACTTTGATCAAGGCAATGAAGTGAGGAAGGTAGTACTAGTATTGATTGTCTCTATTTTCCAGCTAAGCAAATTGAGGCTCAAGGTGGTAAATTGAGTCAGTCACCCAAGGTCACAGGGCTCTAAGGGAATGGATCCTAAATTCAGTGAATCTCCTATCAGGATCATAATGTGTTGGAAAGACAAAAGTGAACGGGTTCATCTGCTCTCTACACACATTCTCACACCACCACCACCACCACCACCTTTTAGTATTGTGAGTAAGCAGGAGATGGTTATGTTAAAATAATTAACTCTTTTTTTTCCCCAGCCAGCTCACATTTACACTGGGGGTAGGCCAGGCTCACAATAGAGAAATGGCCAGAAATAATTCCAAGAATCATAGATTTAGAACTGAAATTTTAACAGTATCTAGTTCAAATCCTTCATTTCAAAGGGAAGTTGAGACCCCCAGAGGGGTGAAGAGATTTACTTAAGGTAACACAGGTAGTAAATGACAGTCAGGAATTGAACCCTCATTGGAAATCAACCAGGTAGGCCAGTGGTCACATTTTGGAAGCGTGAGGAGTGAGAACAAAAAAGTAGTCCTGATAGTAATCACTTTTTTTCTTTTCCAACAGGAAATGAGCATTTAATAACTGCCAGAGAATCAAAATGAAGGTGACTCTCTTCCCCTGCCCCACCCCAAGCAATCCCAATTAGGTGAAAATCTAGAGTTAACAAAGAGAATAATGGTGGGGGGGGGGATGCAGTTTACAAAAAGATGCTTCATAGACTTCCTTTCAATAGGTATCAACTACTTACTCCTATGCATTCAAAATAGGATTTGTTACATAATAGTTAAACTTGTAACCCTTTTCAGGGATATACCAGTTGTGGACAATAGGTATATTTATAACCAAGTAAGAAACTGAACAGAAATTTATTAGGAAAGGTTCTGAGGTGGAAAGAACATTGCACTTGGAGCTAGGAGATAAATGGGTGTTGACTTATCTCTGACACTTATTATCTGTGTGATAATGGTAACTCCCTTCATCTCTCTGGGCTCATTTCCTCATTTGTCCAATGATCTCATAATTGCCAGATCTAATGGACTTTTCTCAATCCTCATACTTATTAACCTCTCTACAAGCATTTTCTACTGTTGATCACCTGCTCCTCCTGGATAATCCTACCTCTCTGAGTTTTCATGACACTGACACTTTCCAGGTTCTCCTGCCTCTGCATACTCCTCTGTCTCCTTTGCTCATCATCCACTTCACACCTACCAGCCATGGGTACCCTCTCCTAAGGTTGTGTCCTGGGTCTTCTCATTTCTTTCTATACTCTATCACTCAGTGATATCATCAGCTCCCCGGGGGTTCAATCATCATCTCTGTGCAAATAATTCCCAGAGCTAAACATCTAGCTCTAGCTTCTCTACTGAACCATAGTTACGAATCGACAACTTCCTCTGGGACATCTCAAACAGGATGGCAAAGGTGTCTCGAACTCAATGTGTCCAAAACAGAACTCCCAGCTCTCCCCCAGAGCCGCTTCACTTCTTTTTTATTAATTTTAAAAAATATTAATTATTTTAAAATTTGAATTAATTTTTAGTTTTCAACTTCCCTAAGCT